GACTGACTGACTGACTGACCGACTGACTGACTGACTGACCGACTGACTGACTGACCGACTGACTGACTGACATGCTAGCAAGCTGGCTACCTGGCTGAGGAGCTGATTGACAAACAGACTCACTGATTCTTATACTGACTCACTTATTGAATCAAAAAAAGTCGTTCACATTCTTATTGCTCAGCCATTGAGTAATCATCAAGTAATCATTTCACCATACGTTATCTAATCTGTTCGTTTTCAGTCGTACCCAAACCCTCCTCGCCTTACTGCAAGGTCGGAGCACGACATTACAAAGATGGAGAAAGTTTGGAAGTGTCTAACATGTCCACCGATAAGAAGACTGCGGCATGCGATCAGTGCTCCTGTAAGGGGGGAAAAATAGAAGGATGTCATCATCTCTTTCACTGTATAATGGATGATCCGAAATGCGTGCGTTATGAGCATCGGGTGGACCAGTGTTGTCCAGCCTGTGGTAAGCTCGAGTATATATTGGTCAAGTTACACGATATGACGTTTTTGGCCACGATTGATTATAGAAATAACCTAGAAATTATAACCAAGGGGTTGAGGATTTTCCTGAAGGGCGTTTCTTACATGTGGTTCTCCCGGACTGTTTCAGCTGGAGTTACTTCCGTCATACATAAAATGTAGCCAGGTTTGTTCATCTAACATTACTTGAAGCAATCTTTAATGAAGAACTATTGGTAATAAAGATCATAACAATGATTCAGAAACCAAAGCTGATTCATGTTGAATTTGTTTCGCGTGTAGTAGGCCTACGAAAACGTACAATCACTCAATCAGCCAATAAGGCATTTAAAACGTGGAACGTTAGCATGCACGCAAACAAACTTCTTAAAGGCTTCTTCCGGTCAGGGTACGATTGCTAATCAATTTAATTTCTTTTTGACCCAAAAAGTCTCACGTGATTCTTTCTTCAGTTCTAGCTAATCCAAAGCCCCCGGCTCACAGTTGCAAGATCAACGGTCGGTTGTTTAAAGATGGCGAGAGTTCCGAGGTGCTGCATCAATCCGCTGACAAGAGCAGTATAATCTGCCAACAGTGCAGATGTGACGCCGGGAAACACAAGTGTCATAAGATATTCGACTGCGATATTCAGAAACAGGCTTGCGAAAAGTCTGTTAAAATAACTGGACAGTGTTGCCCAGTTTGTGGTATGTAGGAGTTCTCCATTACTTACATTAACTGAGTTAAGTGATAAAAAAAATCTAACTTTGTTAACAATTACGTCACAACTAGATCAAAATTTAAATGAATTTGAATATGTAAAAATCATATAATGTGTGCTGCGGTTTTAAGAAATGTATAAAAGCGATCCCTCCAGTAATAAATACTACCTATGTAATAGTCAAAATAAGGTCTGAAAAAGAGATTTGAACCCATGACCTCTCCGATACTGATGCAGTGCTCTACTAACTGAGCTAATTAACTAGCCATTATCATTATGTTGATTCGTATTAAACCCGCAAAGTAAAGAATCAAATGAACTTGAATGTATGGAAAATCATATATGTGTACTGCGGTTTTAAGAAATTTCTGAAAGCCATCCTCGCAGTAATGAACACCTCTTATGTAGATCGAAAATGTTTCGCCTTGCTTCCTTAAGCCTGCTACAACAATGGACAGCAATTGTCACCAGGTGATCAATGGCAGAAGGTTTCTGGAGAAGACTGTGTGACATGCACGTGTCAGCAGGGTGGTATTGCACACTGTACAAGGAAGCCTGGAGGCTGTCAATCAGGTAGGAACCCAATAAAAAGCTGTAGAACGACGCCAAGGAGATTCTGCATTTTTGTCAAAGTAACAATATCATATCCTTGTCGGGTTTTGTGGCCTAAAAATTTCACACGTTTGCAGTGTCATTTGAAGGATGTAGGAGACAATGAACGCAGGGTATAAAAACGCTGAAAGTCAACGTAAATATGAAAGCCAAGAAAAGTTTGCTAAACCAGTCTGCAATGCAACTTGATGTTGAAAGCTCCAAAAAAAACCTGCCGGGATAACCACGAACAATTATTGTGTTTATCTGCTCTCGAGCTCGTTCAGACCAAGATTTTTTTCTTTGTCTAATATGACTTTAACACAGAATTTCAGGATTAGTAGAACATCTTTCAGTTGTTTTTTTTTTTAACCCTAGCTTGTTCTTAATGAATAATTTCAGTGTTCTAAATTATCAGCTATGAATTATTTTGTGACTGTTTTGTAATGTTTCGGATTTTTACTTTCCAGAATAAAATGGTCTTTAGCAGCTGAGCTGAAGTGCCTGACAAGGGCAACAAATGGAATTCACATGAATTTTAAGACCTTGCTAAACTGTGTTAAATTGTGTAAAGTAAGATAAGAATAAAATCTCAGTTAATCTGAGTAAGAGTGGAACTGAAGTATTTAATTGGGTAGATGACTGAACGCAGATACTGACTGGCCTGTTCCTGACAGTACACCTGTGGTAATATGCAAAAAGAAAGAAAAAGAAAAAGAATAAAACAAAACAAAACAAAACAAAACAAAACAAATCAAAAAACTAAAACGAGGCAAGCCAGTTAGGTTACACCTCATTGAGATGGAAATTTGACCCCTGAAAATCACTCAGCCGTGCAAGGTCAAACTCTTGGGCTTAGTCTGTAGTCCCAACTTTTCGAGAGCCTCACTCACAGAGTTCCAGCGGCATATCGACGTCACTTCAACAACTCTCTTCAGCGCCCTAACATCAATTTTTAGTTGATGAGTTTTTTTTACTCGTGTAACGTCTTCGTTGAAAAGGAGGGACTGCTCGCAGTCCACGAGCTGGGGAAAAAAATTGGAGTAAGACCTAGGCAAAGGAGGGATAGATTCTCGCCTTAATGCATTGCGTCTCCTTCGTGAACTCGGCCCAGATCCCTGTAATATTTGCTTGCTCTCCACTGATCGCCACACCTGCAAAGGATAAATTTTTGTCGTATTGACTTCTTGTTACTTTCATGAAGGCCTCAGATTTGTCTCCCATCTAGCACGTTTTGTCCATAATTCCTTGGATTTAATATATCGCTGTTCTCTTAGGGATGTTTCCTTTTTACGGTTCAAGCAGGGAAATACGCTCTTTCAGTAAGGAAACGCTTTGAATGATTTTTGTCTCCAGAAGTGTACTCTTGGAGGCTTCCTAGGCTCGCCCTCCTATTATACACGTATGGGGAAATTAAACCAAATTTATAATCGCTTTATTCTACAACCTACTCAGAAAAACATTGAAGCAATGGTCAAACGAATAAACCAAGCCCTGTAGAAGCCAAATTGTGAATTTAGAATAAGCACAAGTGAACCCGCTCTGCAGCCGTCAGTCTTCCATAGCAGTCCCAATAGTCGGTAGGCGAAAATTGACACTTCCACAGAGTGGTATGGCTTTTTCAGTATTTAGTATTTTCTCCTATATTCGCTAAATATGTTTTTCGATTTTGCCTGTTTATTCACGGCTGAAAGGAGAAGAAAATAATCAATAAAAATAGTACGAAAATATTGAAACCTGTGCTATCCACCATGTCTGGGTTGATCAAAGGATGGATAGTTCTATCCACCGGATAAATCGCCATCCAGCGATGAAGTGTTAACAAAACATACCACGCTATTTTAAAGCGATTTATTTGCATTAAATGTTTGGACTTTCTGTTAGCGCGAGGTTAGCATATCTGAGTGTTTTCTTAGCCCTTGAATTAGCCCGGCGTTGGTGCTTCAGATTATTTATTACACGCCCGTTAGCCCTTCGTCGGAGCGAACGTTAGCCCTTCGCTCCGACGAAGGGCTAACGCTCGAAACGTCAGCTTTTGTAATCGTTACGGTGGCCAGTTATCCTATATTCGACTGGCCATGTTTCATTTAGAGTTAGAATGTACGGTGGGGGCAGCGGGTTGGGGAAGGCGAAATAAACCTAATCCTAGCACTAACCCAAAGAAACCGATATACATGCACGTATTAGGGTTAATTCTCTGTTTGTGGTGTAATACTTGCTTACTCATATTTTTAGTTACAAAGATGTTATTCAGAGTTGTTAACTTCTTATGTTTACTCATTCTCGGCTGGTTTTGTTTTAGGGGAAGATAACAAAGAAATGTTGGACAATTAATTAAACTAACTGGTCTGTTTATTTTTAAATCTGACATTTCCGCGCCCTAGCAACTAAACGCTTGCTACTGGGAAGGACGTAAACCACTATATTCTGGCAAAATTCTTAGCAATACCTACCTAACAATCATGTGTTGCGATTTTTAAAATCCAAAAATGTAGTGATTTAACACAGCAGTAAATTTAACAGAAAGAACATTTATTTTTCTGATTCCTGAGGGGTTTTTTTTAATAATTTTTTTTATTCGCATAGTCACGAGAAACACACAGGACCAATTTCCAGACCAAACTCTTCTCCAGCATCTCCAACATCATGCACTGCCACGTCGTTAATTGGGAGTCTGTGAGTTTTGGAAGTATTAACCTCCAAGATTGTTCTACGCCATGTACCATCTTTAATCTAAAAGATAAACCGAAGACGAAAACATCGCTAATGGTTCAAATTAGACGAGGGAATCACATGTGATAAACATCTCTGTTTCGTAACATCTTTTCAATAATTTCAATTCCACATTGCAATAGATAGACTCTGACATGAAATGACTGAAAGCATAACGCTCATGGAATGTGATTGAGCAGATACAGGAGGAACCGTAAAAGAAACTCAATGTACGCAAACGTAGCGATACGCGCAAAATTAACAAAAATCTGGCAAACAATACACACAAGTATTTATTATACATTCTTATGGACTAAATAACCTGAAACTGAACGGTGACGAGAAGATGGCAGGTCACGCTTCCCTATGTATTCCATTACGAGTACATGTTCCATTCATTCCTGTCTAGTATTCTCTTAGCTTCCTTTTATGATTGTTTCTATTATCTGCACACAAATAGTGGTCGTATGACTAATTAACCTCATACCTTGGGCATTGCAGTCAAAGTGAGGCAGTGAAAGGTAACAAGATATGTCTGAATTAGCTCTTACCTTCCATTCGTCAAGAAGTATGGTAGGTTTGTATTTCTTGGTTCCCTGAGCATGAATCTCTATTCCATTTTCTGCTTTAAGCTTTATGGAATATTCATAGTTCCCTGTACTTTGCTTGAACCAGGCAGAGGAGTTTAAACAATGATAGGTGATGATCTGTTTTGCGCGGTTGCTTAGCAGCCGAAGAAATGTCAGTTGAATTGGGTCGCAGTCATAAACAAACTGTAAAAACAAATAGCAATTTATCAACTTCGTCTTCATTGACTGCCCTTGCTGAGTGGCATTGAAAACGTTTTCCTTCATGGAAACAATGAGTAAAATGTTTCTTTGTGCTACAATGACTCGATTCACCGTAAGTATTTTTTCATCAATGTTCAAATAAAGCATTTAAGAGACACCACTTTTATTCAAACCATCGCATGGATGTATTAAAACATTCTTTTATAACCCCTTTCCTGGGTCGCTCTTGACATCAGCACAATAAAATATTTCATCAATTCTGTTTTCTTTTAGGTTCAAGTGCAGAACTATAATTCTCGTTCTTCTGCAACAGAACCGTGTGAGTACGGTGCCTGAGGGCTATTTCGGTCTGGTCCTACATATGTCAGCTTTCATAATAATCACTGCTCTTTTTTAATGCGTGCGTGCAGCACATGGAATGTTCTGCCCATTGAGTTACGCACAAGTCACATCGCCCTAGCCTCATTTAATTGTTCACTTAAATATTACAATAAGACCCTAGATCTGTACGATGTAGACGAAATCAGAACCTGGAGAAGAGTCTGTCCCAGGTGCAATATAGCGAGGACTCCTGGAGAAGAGTCTGTCCCAGGTGCAATATAGCGAGGACTCCTGGAGAAGAGTCTGTCCCAGGTGCAATATAGCGAGGACTCTCCTTTGCCCGCCGTTGTGCTGTTTCTAGCTATTTGAACTCTTGTTCTGCTTCTTTTTCATTTATTTTAATTTTTTGTTTATAAATGAGTAGCTTCAGTTACTGATTTTTCATTAACGAGGGATCCACTGTAATTGGCTAAGCTGTAGTGGTCTCCCTGCCTAAGATTTCTATGTTTGTAAGTAAGGTATTCGAATTCGGCGAAGCTAAATGAAAAAATAATGGTTTTCTCCAGGACTGCATGGGTTGTATAATAAAAAGAACAACAACAACAAAAAAATACAACCCCTGTACCAAACAAATACATAAAAATAATGACCTAAAGAAAGATCCGGTGGTAACTCCCCTACCTGCACAGAAAATAATCTGTGGCCAGCAAAACATGCGAATGAGTGACAATTTTTTGTCGGAATGAGGAAAAGTTAGCGTCAATATCGCATGCTCAGTGAAGCCGTTTGTCTCGCCTTTAGAGACCTTCAGAGTTCGTCGAAAGTGTAAATCAAAGGTTATATGTGTACCTGTGGGAGATCATCAAATTCTTTAGCAAACCACTTGTATCCGTCAGGTCCAAAGAACCATTTCTTGTTTTCAGTCTGTGTCGGAAAAATAACACGGTGTTGCTCATGTAAAACTTGCGACAACCCTTTCTTGCAAACAGACATGTTGATTTTGCTATAAGAAATAAGGAATGTGTAATTCTGTTCTTCATTACCTTGCCCTTTTTTGGGTGAATGCATGTTGCGTTCAAGTGAAAATCGCAATAAACCTGGATTGCATCATCCGCTGGCCCATCGTTGGGATCGATCCAGAAGTGACCTTGGCAAAAAATAAATTCTCTGTCAGATGCTATTACAATTGTGAAGAACAGGGAGAAGCTGCAACATTATTTAAGCACAATAGTTCCCTTTATTTATGAAAAAAATAGGGTGTTGCCTTACCATTAGTAACATTAGGCTCAAGTTGCTTCAGGTCTCGGCATGTCCTGGCTGGGTGGCGCCTGGTACCTAGAAATCGTCTGCAGGTTATTAAGGACTGGACTTGATTGCTTATGGCTTCGATAACTCGACTGTTGACCTGTTGAGAATAAAAATCGACAAGAGAGCATTTACTGGGCGCCAGCCTACATGGTATATAACTACCGTCTAGGGTATTACATTGCGACGGTGATTATAATGTACCAAGCGCCAGCCTACATAGTATATAAGTACCATCTGGAACGTTATATTGTGAATGTAATGTACTAAGCGCCAGCCTACATAGCAGATAGGTACCGTCTGGAATGTTACATTGTGAATATAATGTACCATGCGCCAGCCTACAAGGTAGATAAGTACCGTCTGGAATGTTACATTATGAATATAATGTATCAAGCGCCAGCCTACGTAGTAGATAAGTACCTGCTGGAATGTTACATTGGGATTATAATGTACCAAGCGCCAGCCTAAGTCATGTAAAGATTAGTCTGCGAGCCGGCCCTCATTAACAACGCTTCGGGAAGAGTGTTTCTTGCTTCGCGGCCGAAGGCAACGCGCGCCGCCGAGATGTCTGCAAGGGATCTAGTACCTGACGCTCGGTAAACCTCCCTTAAACTCTTCTGAAGTCTTTTCGCGTACGGAAACACTGCTCCTGTAACACTAACTTATGAGGGTCTGGTATTCAAGGATGTAAAATATCCACCCGAGTGCATCATTTTGGCCGGAAAATTTGTCCCGTTTGTCTTAAATCGAAAACAACAACAACAAAACGAGATCAATTATTCTTATACAATCCCTCTTTGTGGGGGTATGATGAAAACTTAACAAGGTGGTGGGTTTTCACAAGATTGGTGCGTCGCTAAAAAGACAATTATTGAAGCGTTCATTGATAACAATGTCAGAGAAACCTGCCACCTCTTGGAATCGTTTGGAGTCAGTTTCTGGCTTCTGTCGTGGCTGCAAGGAAAATAAAAGGACATTACTTCACTTAAAGACAGACCTTTCAGAGCTATGGATGACGATGAACATAAAGTAATGAAAAAGCGAATATGAAGTTCACATTGGCGCACTTCAAGGAAGTAATATAGTCTTTCGCCATTTTCAAGCTCCCTCTCTTGATGATTTGAGAAAAAAAAAACAGGTCAGTGAACAGATTACAAGCTACAGTATTTTGATTTCGGAGCACACGTTGGTTGCAGTCGAGTTAAACCAGGGCTCAAAGGGAAATGTAATGCATCACTTAGATAGTTATTCATAAAATGTACTTACCAAATTACTTCTGTACAGAGAGGACTTTCCGTTACTCTGAGTAAGAGACTCTTCAAGAAATCCATATCTCTGTTGGGAAATCTTAATTGGAACGAAAGTTGAGACGTTTATCAGTAGAGGATAAGAATGACGATGAAGTTAGAAATTCATTCATTGTTCAGTTTCAATGAAGTCAAATCCAGGTTGTTTGGGGTAGGGGTCATAACCGTTTTGGATTTGCCGAGTAAATTTTTCAACCTTAACGGTTTCCTTTCCGAAAAGTTATACTTTTAACATCAAAGAGGAAACCTGGGCCACATTTTACTGAGCCTTTCTCTAAGACAGGAAAATCTGTATAAAAGGAATGAAACAAGATACATACCAAGCCGGAAATATCTGCCTGTGAATAAAGAAGAAAAGAAACTCTATAAAACATGGAAATGAGAGCTTTTCAAGGCTTTTCCAGTTAAGGTTTTTTAAGAGAGTATGATGAACTGATAGCAATATTTAGAGAAGCTACGGTAAATGCATGGTTTGATTACGTTGTAGACTCACCGCCTGTCCTGGTTCACCGGGAGGTCCTGGGGGACCCTAAACATAATTTACATCAAATGTTAATGGCTAAGCCCAAAATGATCATGATAGAACCGGCCATAATTCTTTGCTTCAAAAAATGCCAAGTAGACTGTAATCTAACCCAAATGAAACTACCGTCTCCTTGCCGCTAAAGCATTGACCTTGCTCGCAATAGTACAAAGAGCGGAGTTACATTCAAGTTTTAAAACGAAAAAAATACCTGAAGTCCATCCGGTCCCTGACGGTCACGTGCATTAGCAGAATTAGGAAAAAAAAACAATCTATATCAACTTCACTGTAAGGGTGACAATTTTATAATTAGCATTGAATGAAGTCATGATTTTCGGTGGAAAGTGTTTCACATTTAATTTTGATAAGTCTGTGTGTATTTTTTACTATTCTACAATATTAATACGCGATTGATTTTAGAAGTTTTCAAAGGTACCTCTAATGAACATCAATTTGCAAAAATTCACCAAATTCATATCCAGATTGTCCTTGTGGTGTAATCTTAATATGATAACGTCGTTTAGAGTTAGGATTGCTATTTTATTACTGTAATTACGATTGTGATCGTGGTTGTGATCTTGCATCTACATTCTTTTTTAAAAGAGATAAAACATTAGCCCACTGAACAAAGCACAATTTTCTTAACATTAAATCATGGAAAAAATTTGCCAAATTATCAGAGCTCTCTCTCGGACATTACCCTCTCTTAACCCGGTATACAAGGACAATTTTTCCTAAAATTTTGCTTGAGAATTAAGTTATACTCTTAATTGACCTACCTGTGGTCCAGCATCACCCTGAAGAAAAATGGATCAAAAGTGTTTGGTAAAGACATTTAAACATTGGCAAACTCTGACAACCACATGAAATCTAACGGCCGAAAGCAATAGCTTGACCTTTCTCAACTTAAGATTGTCTCTTCGATTAATCTCAAGCTCGATCGAAAGGCAACTGAAGTGGTTGGACTTTACAATTAATACTTTGCTTCAGAAAGAGAAAACATGTAGAAGAATGTTAGCACAGAAGCAAATCAGAGTAATTGGTCTTGGGAACTGACACTGTAATAGGTTCTCTATTGAATCAAATAAATACTCATCCTACTTTGTTTCCAAAGCCTCCTTGTGAGCCAGGTGGTCCCTAATAATTCAAAAGGGAGTAATAGTTAGGACATCGATATTAGAGTCATAAGCAGTGGTAAAGAAGCGATAGACATTACATACAGGTGTATGGCTACGGCAGTATGACTTAGGCAGTATGACTTAGGCAGTATGACTTAGGCAGTATGACTAAAGCAGAAGAACTAAGGCAGAATGACTTAGGCAGTATGACCGAGGCAGAAGAACTTGGGCGGTATGACTTAGACGGTATGACTTAGGCAGTATGACCGAGGTAAGCAGTAATGGCTTCAGTAGTATGAAGTAGGCAGTATGACTAAAGCACTATGACTAAGGCAGCATGACTTAGGCAGTATGACCGAGGCAGAAGAACCTAAGCAGTATGGCTTCGGCATAGGCAGTATGACTGAGGCAGAAGAACTTAGGCAGTATGACTGAGGCAGAAGAACTTAGGCAGTATGACTGAGGCAGAAGAACTTAGGCAGTGTGGCTTAGGCAGTATGACCGAGGCAGAAGAAATTAGGCAGTATGACTTAGGTGGTAGGACCGGGGCAGAAGAACTTAGGTAGTATGACTTAGGCAGTATGATCGAGGCAGAAGAACTCAGGCGGTGTAACTTAG